AAAATTTATAAAACTACACAATGTGTTAGTTTCTATGATGGTACTTGGAAGTTTGTTCCACTCACCCACAATTCTATTATCAAACCAATGCTTTCCTATATCCTTCCTGAATCTGAATTTTTCCAACTTAAAACCACTGCTGCAAGTCCTGTCTTGGCTAGATATTTTTAGCATGCTGTTTACATTCCCTTTATATATTCCTGTTTTCCATTTGTATACCTCAATCATATCCCCCCAATTCTACGCCTTTCTAGAGAAAGGCGCCCTCAATCTATCCTCATAGGGAAGATTTCTGATACATGGAATCAACTTTGTCATCTTCCTCTGTATGTTTTCCAGTGCATTTATATCCATTCTGTAATACGGTGACCAGAACTGTGCAACAGTCTAAATGAGGCCTAACCAAAGATATACAGAGTTGAAGAGCTACCTGAGAACTCCTATTATTTATGCTTCTTGATATGAAGCCAAGGATTCTGTTCACTTTATTGTTAATACATATGCAATGTTGTCTTGGTTTTAGAGTACTGCTAACCAGAACATTATTTAGTTTATATGTGGCATGGTTATTTTCCTGTCCAATGTTTAAAACTTTGCATTTGTCTATATTAAACTGCATCTGCCATTTCTCCGACCACTGCATCAGTCTATTCAAATCTTCCTGGAGTGCTTTAACCCTTAAACGGTCCAAACGTATATATACATTTCCTTTGTCATTCATTCAACATTGGCACGATAAGGCTGAGTCCCCTAGACATGAGAGAATGGGTGTGCTCACTCACTGTGCACCATATGAAAAAAAATGGGGACGCCTGGGTACCAAATGCTCTTTTTTCCAATTAAAATTTTTTTTTTTTTCTCAAAAAATTTGGGGCACTACGCAAGAGAACGTATATGTACATTTGGACCGTTTAAGGGTTAATGTCCTCATCAGAATGAATTCGACGGCCTATTTTAGTGTCATCAGCAAACTTGCTTGTGTCGCTATTTATTCCCTCATCTATGTCATTTATGTAGATTGCAAACAACAAGGGGCCCAAAACTGACCCCTGTGGAACACTGCTCGTTATGCTTCCCCACTCTGATTTCTTTCCATTTATGCAAACTCTCTGCTGCCTATCTGTCAACCACACCTCTATCCAGGAAAAAAAATGTCTCCTCCTATTCCGTGCCTTAATTTTCCTCACTAGTCTCTGATATGGGACTCAATCAAAAGCCTTACTGAAATCCATTAGCAAGGATTCATCAAAAAATCCATTCATCCATCTTGTCAAACTATGGAATTAGAGAGACATGCATAACACTCAGTACCATGCCAAGCCCACACTTTAGATGCAATGTCTCTTATCTAGTTTGTTTGGTTTAAATCAGCAATGCTGCCAGTTGCACTACAAAATGGTAAACAGAACAATTCAAATGATAATTTTATTTTTCTCAAACCATGGATAATTATTCCAAGAAACAGTTTAAATCTGAAACAAATTCATCTAATAGCCTCTTTAGCACTTTAATATTTCATTGTATACGGGATAAGAAGTTTACTTATTAAATCCCATCCTGCACTGTACGACCCTTGTAGGATTAGTGCTTCTTATTATAAGAATATTAACCCTTTGAGGGTCGAGACCCCTGCTCACAAGCTTGCTCCCAGGTCGAAGAATTTAAAAAAAAAAAGGATATTTTTCTCATGAAATGATAAGAGAATCTTTTTCCAAAGGTAATGAAACCAAAAGCACAAAATTTGATGGAAAACTCACAGAATTATGTTCTCATGAAGTTAGCAGTCTTACGGTATTTACGAAACGGCGATTTCACCCACTTTGAGCCCTATTTGGGGCCAATTACATCGTTTCACTCGATCAAACTCATAGCTATTTCACTAGAACTCCTTTTATTCTATCAACTGAGTACAAGAAACTGCCCATTTACCTATTTCAACTACCCAATAGTGATCAGAAATTAATAATTTGGCCAATTTCACACAAAATTCAAGAAAGGCCAATTTCAAAATAGGGGCCTGAATAAATAATGTAGACATTTCTGGCACTAAAATAACATTTTCTCTGTTCATCAGTCACATATCCAGGCCCCCCTTATATTACACTTGATTTTCATTTTGAATTTTTATTCACACAAAAAATTGAAGATTAATTATTTTTCAGACTACTGCATAATGGTAATAATTGTATATATAATCTCAGTGCATTCCTGAATGCATATCAGACTGGCCAGTTGATGTGTAATGAATACATGATGTGTTTTGTTTACTCTTGAACATCGGCAAATATCAAACATTTCCACTACTTTGAGCCCAATTTCAAGCTAATTTTAGTCTGTAAACCATTCAAAATAATTTGATAGAATGGAAGAGATATTACTATCTCTTCCATTCTATCAAATGAGACCAAGAAACCAAGAATATAACCATAAAAAACATACAAAAATACACCGCAAAGTCGGTTCTTTTTTTTCCCATGCACTGCATGCTGCAGGAATTTTTTTATACTATAAACACTGACCACGCAGACCAATTCTCTTATATGTAGGCCTACCAACTTTCTCCTGCAAAACTGGAAGCAGCTATAATTTTGGTAGTATTATGGGACCAACCCTGGCTTCAAAGCCGTAATATTACAGGACTGACCCCAAAAGGGTTAAATCTCATCATCTCATACAGAATATGCGACTGCAATACAGTGGAACCTCAGATGTCAAATTTAATTCATTCCAGACGTCGATTTGACAACCAAAATGGCTATAACCAAAGCAATTTATTCTATGAAGAATAATGTAAATAGAATTAATCTGTTCCAGGCCCCAAATGACAATATAATAATTTATTAAAAATGTACTATTACATAAAACTAAAAATGAATACTAAAGAAATTTTAACTGAAATACTGCACAGTAAATAAAAATTTAACTATCTCTTACCTGTCAAAGGAGAGCTAATGGTATACTGGAAGCAGGAGGTGGAGGACAGTCACCTATTATGTCAAGCAACTGTTCTGGTATTGTTTCTCTTCTCTGTCTCTTTTTCACCACTAACACCTTGTTCTGACTCTCTGGTTCTTTGTCTAAATTGAAACATTGTCCAAATTCATACATTACACTGTCACTGTACATGTTAGAGAGACAGATGGCCACTGCTTTGTCTGGATGGCATTTTTTCAGCAAACTCCTGCACTTCACACCATTTATCACACATTTCCTTGACAAGTGCAATAGGCACATTATCCTTTCCTTCCTCTTCCTTTAATGACAGCTCCATCCATTGCAATCTGTCACTGCTCCTTCTGAGGGTCTAAAAGTTCTTCTGCGGTGAATTCAGTTCTATGCTCCTCCACCAACTCCTCCACATCATCTTCAGTCACCTCTAGGCCCAAGGTCTTTCCCAGGGACACAATATCCTCTACTGGTTCAAGCTTATCTTCAAATTATTATTATAATCAAAAAGAAGCTCTAAGCCACAAGGGCTAGCTCATCTTCAAAGCCTTCAGAATCCCTGGCTGCCACAAAGTCAGGCCACAATTTCTTCAATGCTTACTGAATGGTCCTGGAAGACACATTTCCCCAGGCTTTGTCTATAAGCCTCAAGCAGGTGAGGATATTGAAATGGTCCTTCCAGAACTCCCTGAGGATTAAATTTGTTTCTGAAGTGATTTCAAAGCACCTTTCAAAAAGTGCTTTGGTGTAGAGTTTTTTTAAGTTAGAAATGACCTGCTGGTCCATGGGCTGGATGAGAAGAGTGGTGTTAGGAGGCAAGAACATCATACTTATAAAACTGAACTCCAGCAACTCGTTTTCCAAGCTTCGAGGGTGAGCAGAAGCATTATCCATAAGCAAAAGGGCCCTGAGTGGCAATTGATTTTAACCCTTAAACGGTCCAAATAGATCGATGTTCAAATTCGATAGTGCTCCAAAAGTAGATCTATGTTTTTTTTTTTTTACATATTTTCAAATATAACAAAAAAAAAATGTAGATAAAAGTTTTTTTTTACACATTTTCAAATGTAAAAAAAAAAAAGATGATGTACATTTTTTTATATACTTTCAAATGTTGAAAAAACGTATATATACATTTGGACCATTTAAGGGTTAATAAGGTACTTTTGGACAACGAGAGCAAAAACCTCATGAACCCACTCAAAAAAAATTGTCTTGTTACCCAAGCTTTTGTGTTGACCCTACACATTACAGCTAATTTGTTCTTCATAACATTGCTCTTCTTAAAAACTCATGGATTTTCAAAATGATAAACAAGTAAGGCTTCAATTTCAAGTTCCCCATGGTGTTGATTCACTGTCCAGTGCACATTCTGTGAGCACATGACCTGAGCCGTTCATGTTGCTGGTCAACAACCAAGAGAACATACAAAACACAGAACATTTTTTCCATGAATTCCTCATTCGAAAACCAATTTGTTTGACGAGTAATGCAGTCAACAACCGAGGTTCCACTGTAATATAATGCAAGCTCGTGCTGTTTAAAGATTACATTACTTTTGTCATGATTTTTTCTTTTTGTGTGTCAGTTTCTAATATAGGTGGCAATATATTAAAATCAGATTTTGAGAAACAGATAAATTAATGTATATAAATATATGTTCCAATAAATTCTATAATATTAAGCAGATCTATCACCAAAGCTTGACTACATCTAAGTACCCTGCATAGTTTAAGTACTTTACATTCTAAAACATTAATCAAATAAATTTCATTATTCATACAGAAAATAAATAAACAAATTGCATACTTAAAATAATATTAATACAGTATACCTGTAATTACTATCCTTTTGATTAATATATGAAAAGAAGTTGAGATGAAATGGAAAAACAGAACTAAGTATTTTAGCAACACTGAAATTATGGCCTATGGGGAGACCTTATCACTTCCCCCTCCCCCACCCCAGTAGTTACCTTTTTCTCACCCTCATTACCTTTCACTCATGTCTCCATTTTCTTCATCACTGCCAGACAATTTTATGCAATAACACTGTTCATTACCTATAAATCATCATATCTTGCCATGACATCTAGTAGGGTTTTATTTATATTTTATTTTCTACCTTCATCAAACCCTCTTACTGTATATCTTAAATATCCTTAGTGGACAACTATCAATACTGTTTGAGATACCACAACATAATACAATAACACTACAGCATCCTCTCACCATGATCACCACCTAGTTACTACAAAACATTCCTGGTGCAGCACAAAACACATGCACAATAGATTTTTACTAAATACAAATTTGGCACATTAGTCAAGATGTTCGCTCAATATAAATTACAAATCTCACTTATATTAGGCCCTCAGACATTAATTTGCTAATCTATGTCATATCCAGTTCCCCAGGAGGCCACAGATCTATGTGATGAACAGTTAAATGCATACGGCCGGGGGATATGGCCAGTTTGTTGAAAGAAGAAGAATGATATTTAAGACTCCCTCTTACATTTTCAAATTAGTATGAAATGGACATCATAACTGCAGCAGTACATAATGTAACAAAAAATATTCTCTGTCAAACAAAACAACTATTTGTTGTTAATTATGAATATGAATTTCCATGAAAATTTAAACCAAACAAATTTTTCTCAACTTAATTCATGTAAAAGCAATCTACAGAGTTATTAGCCTATAGAAACTAGAGAGAGATTGACATTTTTTTTTTTTTTAATTTTATTCACATACAGGCAAGTGGTGACACCTGTGTCCCTTGGGCATGTTCCACAATTTTTCTATTTTTTTTTTTCTAATAAACTATCTTATAGCACAAATCATTCATCACAAGCTGCAACTCATTTCATATTTTATTGTTACAGTCAATGTCATTTAGTTGAAAATCTTTGGTGGCTTAATTATATAATTACACAATATAAATTTTTATTACTATTGAGGCCTGAGACCAAATATCACTTTTCATCATCGTTAAAAGCTTCAACGAGTTAACCTTACATACCTCTGCCTCTAACCAAGTGAACCATATGGTAACCTCATTTTATCATTCCAGTAGGAACTCTCTGAACCTCAAATAATGAAACATCCACAAATCTCTTTACTTATTTTGTTCTTTTACTTAATAAAAAACTAGAATGATATTAAGATACAAAGGCATCATAAAAGAGAAGTGTGTTAAAGGGGAATCAACTACAGCTGTAAACAGTATAGTGAATCTTAAACAAAATCATCAACAGATTTTGCCAAATTCTTCCTGCTTTATAGTGATATGTGATAATCTTAAATACAAAATCTTTTTCTGATCCAAACTAATGTTGGATATTATTATTTTGTTCAATTCTTTTGGTTTAAATCAAAAGTCAACTATAATAACTACTGAACACTTTTTTTTTTTTTTTTGCATGAAACACAAATGTACCTTGCTCAGCTCAGCCATTTTTCTATAATAAAGGGTAAAGCTAGCTCCTGTATGCCTAACAATACGTACATAATCAGGAAAGAATATATGTGCAGGTCCTCAACACTCAGTGGAAGAATGGATTTCATAATTTATCATTCACAGTTACTTATTTGTGCTGAAATTGTTGAACAAAATTAATTGTAGCAAATGTACATAGGTAAGCTCATACATACAAAAAGAAGAGTGCTATAAAGCCATTAAATTAGTAACAAGAAGTTTTTCATTTTGATCCAGTACTGCAAGACTAGTCTTATTTTGAAAGAATTTCTGACTCTATACTTCATATTAATCACTAGTTTATGGCTATAATTGGTGTAAATCATCAGTACAAGTATATGAAGCTATATTATGTATTTGAGTTTTCCATTTTCATGTGCTGTACAGTGCAGTATTATCGCCGTACATAATATAGCTTCATATACTTGTACTGATGATTTGCACAGTGATAATACTGCACTGTACATGGAAATGGAAAACACAAGTGTTTTTGATTCCTGTTTGCATTAATAAATTATTAAGTTAGCAAGGGATTCAGGGATAAGGTACCAACAAATTGAAATAAATTTTCATAATTTGTAGTATGCTACAAAGAACAAAACCTTGAATTTTAAATCATATTCTTATCAAAGTACTGTAATGATTTTTTTTTTTTGTTTGAAAATGCTATACAGTGGGCCCCCAGATTTCATCCTGTGCGGAAATCATACAATTCGGATTTCGACCACTTTTTTCGGCGAAATTTTACCCTGGGTTTCATGCATCCGCTCGGAAATTGTCCATACCAGATGCATCCGCCTAGGCCACTCATAGGTTCTTGACTCACTCTTGGACATATTAAATGTCTTATTTTACATCGATACAGACATTTTCATTAATTCGTCTGATATTTTTTTCAAAATTTTATAAGAAACATGTTACATAGTGCATAAACATGCCTTTGTTACTCGTTTACTAAGAGTGTCCCTCCAGTCTTAACGCCATAGTAATAATACTAATATGTAATAATACAGTAATCACTCTTGAGCACATTAAATGTCTTGATTTACGTTAATATAGAAATTTTCATTAATCCATCTATGATATTTTCTTTAAAATTATATAAGAAACACATTACATAGCATATAAACATGCAATGTTTATATGCTATGGAGGGGTGGTAGTCGGTGGAGGGATAACATTACGTTTTTCTCCGGTTCAGCATTAGAGAAACCGTGTATGAATCTGCGTTGGCCCAGTCACCGCCCTCAATTAACCCTTAAACTGTCCACACGTAGATCTACATGCACGTGCGCAGTGCTCTGTACGTAGATGTACGTTTTATTTTTCATTCCTTCAAATTTGGTGCAATAGGCCTGAGTAACCTAGACATGAAAGATTGGGTCTGCACACTCAGCGTGCGCAGTATGAAAAAAATTGGGGACCACTTAGCACCTTGTGGGAGCACCAGTTCAACTGAGTGCCAGTTAGAGCAAATAGCGTAGCAAACACCAGAGATTCACTGATGTCATATTAACACTCATTTTAAGAGGAAAGTAAAAATAGGTTAGATAAATACATGAGTGGATGTGAGTTGAACCTGACTAGCTTGTGCTACTAGGTCACATGCCGTGCTCTTTCCTTCAGTGGATGTGACCCGGCTAGCTGGGTCAATTAGTCTAAGCTGGGAGGGGTGACATGGGTGGCATGGGCCAGTAGGCCTGCTGCAGTGTTCCTTCTTTCTTATGTTCTTATGTATTCGGTAGACTGGTCAGCTGGCTGGCTGGCTGGCTTTGACTGTCTGTCTGTGTCTGTCTATATCTCCATCTGTCCATATCTCTGTCTATCTGTCTATATCTCTGTCTATCTGTCTTATCTCTCTCTCTCACATGTACACATAAGTACAGTTATTATACAAAGTGTAAATTACTTAGGATAACCCAAAAATTACAGACAAAGTGCTATATAGTGTTTGTAGATATAAGACATAAATAAACATGACACAAGTAATAGCAGTGTCACTTGCTCAGCAATCAGGGAGTGGCTCATAAACCAAAAACCAACAGGTTTACCAGCCGCTCCCTGAGATAGAGACAAATAGATGAAAAGACAGACACACACAGGCAGACAGATAAACAGATAGATAAACAGACAGATAGACAGACATACAGACAGACATGTTTGTGTGCAACAGCGAAAACAGAGGATTCCCTGCAGCAGCTCACATCCATCAAATGTCACTGGCTGTCACCGGTCATCTTGCGCTTGACATAACACCATTCTTCAAGGAGTTTCATATATACTCCAGACAGATAACAGACAGATAGACAGACATACAGACAGACACGTTTGTGTGCAACAGCGAAAACAAATAAAGGGAGGGTTCCCTGCAGCAACTCACATTCATCAACAAATAAAGGGAGGGTTCCCTACAGCAACTCATTCATCAAATGTCACTGGCTGTCACCTGTTATCTGATGCTTGTCATAACACCATTCTTCAAGGAATTTCATATATATACTCAAGGCACACACAAGCAGACAGAAAGATAGATAAACAGGGCTAGATAGATAAGCAGAGCTAGGCAGACAGATAGACAGACAGAGATAGACAGACATACAGACAGACATGTTTATGTGCAACAGCAAAAACAATATTTCTAGACAATAGTAAATGACCCAGGCAGATGAAAATGTTCACCTGTTGGTGTGATTGTTACTATTTGAGTACTAATTTAGTACATAATATTAGTGTCAGAACAAAGATTGGCTATGAAATCACAACAACTATTATAAATTTTAATTATCAGAACATAAAAAATACATAAATTAAAATAAAAATGAGAAAAAAGGTAAATCGGCAACACTTCTGCAAGCAGCAGGACTGGATGTTGCTGTTAGGTGAGTATCCAGAGCCAACTTCGGTCTTATATCTTGGTAAGTACTGGTCCTAAAATTTTTTTTTTTTTTTTTTTGGTCTTATACCACACAGAAAATTGCTCTCTTTAATTTAAAAAAAAAAATGATAATTTTTATTTTTCAAAATATTCGGAGCACCACGCAGGTGAATGTTTTGGACAGTTTAAGGGTTAATACACACATGACGCTTTTGTTTACAATTCTCGGCATGAATTATTCATTACTTCTCCCCTTCTTCATGATGGCACCTAAAGGTAATTGTTAGAAACAATTAAACTCAGTGAACATGGTATGTCAATGGTAATAATATGGCTCTGGGCTGCAGTGTAGGTAGCCAGTAGGTGTAGCCCAGGCAGGCTACACCTACACTGTCTTCCTACAAATAAATGCTACTCACCTCTTGCCCTATATTAAGACTACAAATATTTTAAGGTAAGTAATGAATGTACTGAGTATGTATTTTACTCTTTATTGTGTTTTTTAATGCCTAGTTCTATTACTAACTTAATTTATTTTTGTTAATATTTTTGGGTGTCTGGAACAGATTACGTAATTGGATTTACATTACATGTATTTCTTATGGGAAATATTACCTTGATTTTTGTCCATTTTGGATTTCAACCAACCTTCTGGAACGGATTAAGGACGAAAAATGGGGTCCACTTCATCTTCATAATCCTAGCATATTTAAACATGAAATATATCCAAAACCATACATTTAGATGATCAATATTTCTAACTAAAATGCTCATCACATGTTTAATAGGAAAGAATGGGTTTCATAGATTACCATTTGTTTAATTATGCAGAAATGAGTGATACACAAAATGAGACTTTAATCACATTTTTCATACTTTTTGATACTGTATAGATTTTCCCAAGAGATGGAGACAACCCCCATAGATAAGTGAAACACAATAATTCAGGGACTGACAATATATAAAACTATCTCATTTAGATTGGTCAAAAAAATAGTGAGCAGTGGTAAATGACCCTTACAAATTTAATATTTGTGAAAATTTACATCAATTACAGTTATTGCAACATGTAAAGCCAGTAGGGACTGATAACATCTGCAGTAAATACACAAAACAATGAAACTTTGTCTTAAGACCCCCCCCTTCCAAAAAAAAAAAGCATTAACTGAACCAGTTATGTTCAAATCACAAAACTGAGAACTAAGAATTGTCAGAAATATATAGCTAATACAATTAATATGCATTACCTGTATGGAATTTGCATCACACATACAGAGGTCGACAAACTAGATTTTTACACCAAAAGCCACATCACTGCAAATACAACTGACAATGTTCAAAATGATGTAAAGAAAGTTTACAAAACACACACCTTAACTTAAAAATTTTCTCTATATTATTATAACACTACCATTGTTTGACATGACATGTTGCCACTTAACTAACTTCTGAAACTAATATCCAGTATACCCACATAACAAAGGTGCAGGCATGCCATTAGTTCATAAAATTCTTGATTATGTATTTGCTAAGGCATATCCTTACTATAAAAATATAGCAAATAATAAAGTTAAGGACCACAAACAATCATGAAAAAACTGCTGCCAAGTCTCGGAAAAAATTACAAATACTGTATTCTATTTGCAGCCTTCATAAAAATCAGAGAATATATGGCAATTTTGCAGGATCTGAGAGAGCACATCCTAACACATAAAGAAAGCCTAGATAGGCATTGAGTTTAGCAGTCCTCTTTGGTATTGGCCCTTTACTTACTGTTCTAAAATGCCTCTCTAGTCTGAATGCCTCAGGAATTGTAATAAGAGGCAGAAAAAGCATAGCAGAATACTTCATGCCCCACACAGCAAACATTGTATAAGGGGCAAAAAGAAATACAGCATACAAAACTTCTGAGGCTGTTGAGCCAATGATAATAGCTAGTGTAACAATCCCAGCTCGACTGTCAGATTCTAAATCTCGAGTATTATTTGAATGAAGGATTGCCTCAGTATTTAAGGCAAGGGGGACAGCATATAAAATGGTGGCCCACTGAACATGTCCTGCTTGAACCATATATGAAAAAAGAACTGTCATGGGACCAAAGAATATGAGAATCATAACATCACCCAAAGCAATATATTTGAAGCCTATTCCACCAGTGTATAAAAATGAACTAGACAGTCCTCCAAAGTACACCAGGGCTAAGTGTTCTAGGCGGGCATTTGTTACCATAGTCAAAATAACAAATCCAGCACACCCAACAGAATACAAAATTACGCCAAGTGTTACAATTTCATCTTTGGAAAGTAGCTGGTCCACTAAGGTCCGATCATCACTCTTTTTACTGTCAATTCCTTTTACGTAATCAAAGTAAGTGTTGACAACATTACCAGCAGCATGTACCGACAAAGCTGTAAGTGCTGTTGTAACAAGTGCAACAATATTAAATTCGCCAGTAGCCTTATGAGCTAGAGTACATCCCAAAAGTACTGGCATTAAGGAGGCACTGAAGGACCATGGTCGAAGAGCAAGTACATATGCTGAAATCTTCATCAGAGGGGAGCCCCGACACTTCTCAGTGTGTGCTGAACTGTTGCCATTCATCATTGTTAAGGTCTAGCAGGCTGAAAGTGAGATAAAAGGTTTATAGACATGATATATAAACAAACACTTTATAATAATGTACAGTACTGTCCATACAGCCTCTCCTCGCTTAATAATGGAGTTGCATTCCTGAGCCCATGTTGGTAACTGAATTCGTCACTAAGCAAGGAGCATACTATAATGGTGGTGGGTTTGTATCAACCATCTTTGATTTTGTTCTAATGCCAAATTTGCACCATTTATAAAATTTTTAGTATACTATTTTTAAATGTTTATACAGTAGTGTACTGTATGCTGTAATAAACAGAATAGAGGAAATCAGCTCTAATATACATATGTATAGGTATGCATACTGGCCAGAGAGCCCATCGTAAGTCCGAGTCATCAGTAAATGAGTACGTCGCTGAGTGAGGAGAGGCTGTATTAAAAATAATAAAATGTAACAAATTTAACTGCAATAATTCAATAAATTTATTAGATAATTGAATGATAAAAAATATGTTAACCCTTTCAGGGTCCGTCCCGTAGATCTACGGCTTTATGTTGGGGGTCCAAACCGTAAATCTACGCCAAAATTCTAGCAGCATCAAATTTAGCGCATGAAGGCTGGAAGGCCTACATCTGAGAGAATGGGTCTGGGTGGTCAGTGTGCGCACTATAGAAAAAATCTGGACACCTGCATGGCATTGTGGGAACGCCATCAAAGTGCTTTGTTCATCAAGCCTGGCGGCAAGGAAGCTCTCACTCCCCCACTCACTCTTCTGACGAATTCTGACTCTCCTCTTCACAACTTACAGTTCTAAGACTGATGGAAGTGGATCTGAAGAGGAATTCTATGGTTTTGAACCATATGGTACCATTGTACCATATAGTACAATGGTACCATATGGTACAATGGTGTCATGTCATACAATGGTATCATATGGTACAATGTACCATATAGTACATACAGCGGACCCCCGATTTACGATATTATTTCATTCCAGAAGTATGTTCAGGTGCCAGTACTGAACGAATTTGTTCCCATAAGGTATATTGTGAATTAGATTAGTCAATTTCAGACCCCCAAACATACACGTACAAATGCACTTACATAAATACACTTACATAATTGGTCGCATTGGGAGCTGATCGTAAAGCGGGGGTCCACCGTAGTATCATATGGTACATTGTACCATATGGTACAGGGACCCTAATGGAAATAAGTCTGACTTTTTTTGGTTATCCTAGGTTCTCCAAACATATGCTGCTATGCATGGTAATCTATGTAACTTTATTTGTATATACCTAAATAAACTTACGATGCCACATGTGCTTGAATAAGTTTATTCAGGTGTACACAAATAGTTACATAGATTATCATACATAGCAGCATATGTATAAAATCCTAGGATAACCCAAAAAAGTCAGGGTGACTTATTTCCATAGGGATCACTGTATCTGTACCATATGGTGTCCTGTACCATATGGTCTGACCATAGGTCCGCACCATATGGTACCCTGCACCATATGGTACCCTGCACCATATGGTACCCTGCACCATATGGTACCCTGCACCATATGGTACCCTGTACTGTATGGTACCCTATACCATATAGTACAATGTACCATATGGTACCCTGTAACATATGATTCCATACACCATATGGTACCCTGTAACATATGATACCATGTACCATATGGTCAGAGATGTTGCTGCCACCAGGCACGAGGCAAGAGTGAGTGAGTGACGACACAAGCTAGCTAGTGACTCGGCAGATTCCAAGACAAAGCGCTTGGTCATTCACCTCAAAGAACATGTCGAGTTCCTGTACATTTGTAAATATATAATAGAACATTACTAATATACAACATTTTTGCATATTTTTGTTGTAAACAATGATTGTAAACGAAATAATGATGAAAATGTTAGTGTTTATTATGTTGAACAGAACAGTACCATACAGTACCATATGGTACCAGCAGGTATCATTGCACCATATGGTACCATTGTATCATATGGTACCATTGTACAAATGGTGCCATTGTACCATATTCTACCATTGTATCATATGGTACCATTGTACCAAATGGTGCCATTGTACCATATTCTACCATATGTACCATTGTATCATATGGTGCCATTGTACCATATGGTGCCACTGTACCACATGGCACCATTGTACCATATGGTACCATTGCACCCTATGGCACCATTGTACCATATAGTACTATATGGTACCGTTGTATTCAACACAATAACCGCACTAATATTTTCATCATTTTGTATTGTGTTGAATACAATGAGTGTACACTTATACAGTATACATTATATTGGTCTCACAGACCACAAATGTTACAAGAAAAAGAAAAAATTAGAAAAGAAAAAAGTATAAAAAACGTAAATAAAAAAAATGCGATTTTGCGGAAGTCGCTGATGTTGCCGCCACCCGGTCATTTTGGGTCAACTTCCCGCCACTGTATCTCGTAAGTATTGATCAGAAATTTTGTTTTTGTTTTATTACCTTCACAAAAATATTATCTTTAACCCATAAACTGTCCAAGCAGATCTACGTTCACATGTGTAGTGCTACAAAAGTAGATCTACGTTTTTTTTTACGTATTTTCAAATATAACAAAAAAAAAGTAGATCAAAGTTTTTTTTACACATTTTCAAATGTAAAAAAAACAAAAAGAAGATCTACTTTTTTTACATACTTTCAAATGTTGAAAAAACCTATATATACGTTTGGACCGTTTACGGGTTAATTCTGTAAGAAAAATAATTTTTTTTTTTTTTAAATTTCTTGGACACTGGGGCACCCCTTCAGATTTTGGCCTTGCACCCTGAAAGGGTTAAAGGAGCCAAAACATGTAACAACTTAATACAGTAGGACCCCCATATCCAGGGGGGATACGTTCCAAGGACCTGCCGTGGATACCAAAACCATGGATAACAGCAATCCCTATATAGTGGACCCTCGGATATCGGCTGTTCCTGTTATCGGCCAACTCGGTCATTGGCCCATTTTTCGGCTTCCACTGATTGGCCATTTCAGACGCGTCCATCCGCTGGTTGGGGCCACTTGTGCATCAGTCTGGCTGCGTCTCTCAGTGTGAAGAAGCTTCTGCTCATACATCCAAATATTTTGCTTGTTTTCCATTGTTCTAGTTTTTTTTGTAGTGCAACTGCGAAATAAGTAACCATGGCTCCAAAGAAAGTTCCCAGTAAAGTTCCTGTGGTAAAGAAAGTGAGAAACACCATGGAATTTAAGTGTGAAGTGGTTGATAAGTATTAGAGTGGTATGCAGGTGCTAGAACTTGCCAGGATGTATGGGGAAGAACAAATCTATCATTACATCCATCCTGGCAAAGAAAGAACAAATCAAGGATGCTAATGTTGCGAAAGGAGTAACTTTTATTACGAAACAAAGGTCACCAATAATGGAAGAGACGGAAAGGTTGTTGTTATTGTGGATTAAGGAAAAAGAATTAGTGGGAGACAATGTTGTGGAATCTGTTATTTGTGAGAAGGCAAGGCAGTTACATTAGGAGTGAGGAGGAGTGTGAGTGTGAGGAGACAGTGCGAGGGGAAGTCACGCGCGGTCGAGCTCCGTCAAAAATTACTTTTCCTGATAGTCCCAAGTGGGAACAGAGGGTGGGAAATAAGCGTGTGCAACCATAAAGTGATATACTTCCTTGTAAATCAACATAAAAGGAATATCAGTGAACACCAAATAGAAAAATATGGATTACAGCGTCATATGGAGAGTGCCGGTTAGAACAACATTTACTCTGGAAATAAGCCTGACCAGCACTAGCAAACTATTGCCAGATGTCGACACAAGTGGAAATAAACAAACAGATATTGAACTATCTATAAGTAATATGGCGAATGACAAATATATATATATATGTGTAGTGACATAGTGAAATAAATTGTAGATACAAGTAATCTAAATTATCCCCAGTATAGCATAAAATATATGGTGTAGCATATGGGAATATTTACAAGCAACTGGCACTAGCGAACTATTGCCGGAGGTCCAGAGAAGTGGAAATAACGGAGGAATATTTACTACAGTCAAAAGTAATAAAACGAGTGATGGTAGCATTGAGGTGCAGGGAATCACAGTATACATAAATTAAGCATGCAATCAAGGAAAAGGCATAAGTCTACTGTGTGACGTGCTTTTCCCCGTTACCTCTCCTAAGTTTACTGCTATAGAAGTGCAGGAGAAAGTTACCATAGGCCTAGTGCCATCTGAACAATATAACCATCTCAGTGTAGTGCAGTGAAAAGAAAAGTGTATCTTGAACGAATACTTTGTATACCCTTGAGATAACCAGTGAACAACACAGTGACAAAATACCAGTGATAAAATAAAAGGAAATAAAATAAAAATCAATTGTGAAGTGTGGCAGTGGTGGGTCAATCTACTTGTCCTGGTGTTGACATGTGACAAGTGATACACCAAGGTACGAGTTACCACATATAGCGAATAGACGAAAAGGACATAAATAGGCAGTGATATAGTAAACTGAACTTATGGATAAGAGTTAATCTTTTTAATCCTGAGTGTAGTGTAAAACTATGGTATAATTATATGGGAACAAGTTGAAAGTGCCACCTGCACCCCTCCTCCAAGCCCCCGCCTCATGCCCCCACCCCATTCCCCGGATCCTACCCCACCCATCCAACAATCCCACCCAAGGCCTCCCCTCCTCGCACCCTCACCGCTTTCCACAGACCCCTATCTCCCAGCTTACCACCCCACCGCACAGCCCCCTCCTCCTATTGTCCCTAACCTCTCCCCAAGGATACCCACCGCCCAGCAACTCCCACCTACCAGCCACCCCACCACCAGCCGCACATAATAAATACACCATCCACCACATACACCTGTTTTAAAAGTAATCATGGCCAGGAATAAAGGCTGTTGTATATGTGAAAAAATCTTTGGGTGAAACATGAGGGGCATTGATTGTGAAATATGTGGTAAAACATCACATATATCATGTACAAAGCTTCATGCAACCA